ACACACACACACACACACACACACACACACACACACACATTGTAAGGCGGTCCAGGATAAGTGGCACCAAGAGGCCTTTGGGAAAAGGGGCGATTAGGAGACATGCTTTCCTGCAAGATGGATTCATGCTGGGCCGGGTGTGTCCACGCGGGGAGTTCCGGTTCTGCAGCCCAACTCCACTCGGCGGAGGCCTGTGGCCCGTGGCCCTCTGTGATGGTTTCTTCTTGGTCCGAGGTCCTCCGTGACGGCACCGGAAACAGCCTGTGGGGAATGTTCCCCTTTTGTGGGGAGGCAGCACTCACAGCCTGCGACCTGCTCACAGGAGTTCAGGGGCCCCGATATTCTTCTAAGGCTTAGACCGACAGTCAAAGGATGTTAAGACCGGGAGCGAGATTTTCTTGGCAGTTTTGTCAACAAGTTAGAGGCTTGTGATAACTGACCCGCAGGCAGTCACCAGAGCTGGGACCCACCCCTGAAATTATTCCTTAGACGGAGCTTCGAAGCCCGTGGCTTTCTTGGCTGCACCCTGTGGGGACACGGAGACGAGGCTGACCCGTCCCCGCGTCCCCGAATCCAGCGCCTGGGGCTTCCCTGTGGGAGCGTGTGTGGCCGGTAGAAAGTGGGGCCAGGGCGCCTGGGCGGGGGTTGCACAGCTGGGGGCCCCTGGCCATCGGCGTGTCCTGCACGTGTCGGGCTCACGCCCCACGCTGCTGAGGACAGGGCCGACCCTGAGCTCGCCGTGGCAGGAGGAGCGCGCAGGCAGACGCGCAGCCCGGGCTTCGGGGAACCGCATGTCCCAAGGAGCAGCTGGCGCCCCGCGGTGCCGCTGGCTCCGCACGGGCTCCGCGTGGCGCCGAGGTTTCGAGCCGGGCGGGCTGTGGGCAGGAAGCCGGTCATCCCGGGCGGTGACGGCGCCTTTGGAAAGGCAGCCGCCAGCGCTCGTTGTTGGAAATGCGGCGTTTGTAACGATGCGCCCGCTGCGTGGGAATCACACGTGACCCGGGGACTAGTGGAGCTGTGCACTGTGTGCAGCACGACCGTCACGCCCACCCGCCGCACGTCGGGGTCGTGGGGGGTGGGGGGGTCCTGGCCCGCGTGGGCGCGGTCCCCGCTCCCCGGCTCGGACAGAAGCGCTGTGTTAAAACCTCCCGGTGACTGTCCTGGAGAAGCACCGGTTTTCAAAGGGAGACGTGTCGCCGCGGCAGACGCTTCCGTAGTGCGAGTCACTAGAGGCGAGAAAAGCGCCCTGCCTCGCTCGCTCGCTCGCTCGAGACAGCTCTGCTCGCGTGGGGCCCACTCCCGGGGTTCGCGCGGCTGCCTCGGGTCGTTCCCGACGAGCCGGCTCCGCTCTGTGCGGAGGGAGAGGGGCGGGCGCGCTAACGCCGTGTCCCCGGTCCCCCACGCAGCACATCCTGCTGGTGCAGCGTCAGATGTCCGTGATCGCGGAGGACGTGGCGGCCTTCCAGGCGGCGCTGAGACGCTACGCGAACGGCGCTGCCTCCCAACGCGGCTGTTTGCGGTGAGTGGCCCGCGCCGGCGCCGGGTTTGCGGGGCGGGCGGACGGGGCGGGGAGCCTCCGTTTCCCGCCAGCGCGTTGCCCGTTCCCCGTGGACTGGGCGCGTTTGAGCACATGGGTCACCGAGGCCACTAACAGGGAGAGGACGGTCGAAGAGGGATTTCCAGCAGGCCCCGCGCCCCCTGTGGCCAGGCGGCCCACGCCGACCCGAACGCTCGCCCGGCAGGTAGATGCGCGGAGCCCCAGCCGGCGCGGCTCGACGGCCCCCGGCCCCCGGCTGCAGGCTGGGCCGCCGTCCCATCGCCGCCTCTGGAGGCCGCGCGCCCCGGCCTGTGCGGCCTCCGGCTGCGGAACGCGCTGCGCTCCCCGTCGGCGCCCAGCAGAGGGCGCGGGCCTGCCGGCGAGCACACCGGCGTGTGCGGCTCCGTCCCCGGAGGGAGCGGGTCTCTTGCTTCCGGAGAGGGCGCGACGCTTGATGACGTGCTGCTTGAACGTGTAGGGAAGAGGACCCGAAGCTGCTGGGACGGCCCGGGGCGAGGGAGCAGAGTAGATGCTGGCTGCCCTCTGTCACCACGAGGAACCGCCGCCTCGTCCCCAGCGGGGACGTGCAGGGAACAGGACCCCTTTCCCGTGACGTAGCCCTGGGCTCTCGGCCGCCGCCTGCGCCCGGCGGGCTTGTCTGCCTGGCGCTTCGCCCGTTCCTTACTGATGGTCCAGCAAATGTCTTGCTGTCCCCGAATCATCAGAGCAGATTTTGTCACATGGAATCAGCAGCAGCCGTCCCACACGGGGGACACTGTGCCCGGCGCTCTGCCTTCGGCCTGGTGCTCGGCTGGCCGGGGGAGCTAGGCTCTGAGCCATCCGCTCTCTAGTCTCTCCTCCTCCCGCGCTTGGCTCGGCCTCCCTGTGGTTAGACAGGAGATGCTGCCATGAAATGAAGTAGAAATTAAGGCTTTACTAGGCCAGTCACTCTGTATACATTTCCTCACTTGCGTGTCACTGCGGTCACCCGAGGTGTGGATCCAGCCGGGCTACAAGCAAATGGGCTGCAACGCGATCGGCGGATTAAACAACTTGCCCAAGTGGGATTTCAAAACCCACGTGTGTTCCTGCTAAGCCTTTGGTCATCCTTGAATTAGTTTCCTGGACTTGCTGTGGTTAACCAGGGGTAGAATGGGCAAGATCCCTCCTATCCCAATTACAAGGTCATACTTTTTAAATTCAGGTCACTGACTTAGAGAGGCTCTCGCCCTCTAGGTGTTTGACTGGTAGACGAGGAGGTTTGGGGACTGACAGAGCCGGCATCATACAGTTCAGTCCATTGAGTTTAGGGTGTGTGTGTGTTTGTAAAACAAATACTTTAGCTTTTGAAGTTTACTTTTTGAAATTTTAGTTTTTCAATTACAGGTGACATTCAATGTATTTGTTTCAGGTGTACAGCATAGTGGTTAGACATTGATGTAGTTTACAGAGTGATCCCTGACTAGTCTAGCCCCCACCTGGCACCATACATAGGGGTTACAGCATTACTGTATTCCCTGTGCTGTATGTTATGCTCCCCGTGACTGCTCTGTAGTCACCAATTGGTGTCTCTTAATCCCTTCACCTTTTTCACAGGGCCCCCCAACCCGCCTGCCACCCGTCAGCCATCAAGTTTGTTCTGTGTCAGTTTGTTCCCTTGTGTTTTATATCCCACACGTACGTGAAACCGTGTTGTTTTCATGACAAAAGGTCGCTGCCACCAAGCCTACCAATAGGCATTCCTCACATGGGGTGCCATGAAAGGAGAAACTTGATTCAGGTAAACAGCTTGCAAACCAGGGAGGAAACCACAGGCGGAAACCCAAAGCTCACTCCTCAAACCCAACAGGGGAGGCTTGCTTATATAGAGGAAGTTCCTGCCTTGGTGCCTGATTGGTCCATTTCTATGCAAATGAGGAACCCAATTTACATGGTTTGATTAGTCCAAAGTGCGCTGTCTTGGTCAGAATGATGTGACCTGATTGGTTATTATGGAGCCACTCTGATTGGATGGTAAAGATGCAAACGGGGATGTAGCTGCGCAGCTCCAATTGGAGTGGGGAGGCCTCACTCCCATTGGTCAAAATACAATACCAGGAGCTTCTTTGTAACTTCAGAGATAAATAAAGGCTATCAGGCATGGATGGCTACAATTTTTTTTGCCCAGCTGCCTCACCCAAACCCCACGTATTACCTATAACAGCGGTTCTCAACCTGTGGGTCGCGACCCCTTTGGGGGTCGGACGAGCCTTTCACAGGGGTNGGCTGCAGGACTCGGGTTCCCCCCCCCCCGGGTCTCTGGCCGAATGTGGTGCCCGTGGGCGCTGTCAGCCGGACGTGGCTGCGAGCTGCAGTTTGGGTTCAGCGCCCTTGTCCTGGGGCCCGTGGCCACTCGGGGTAGCTTCCCCTCCTGGGGGTGTCAGAGTCACACAGCTCGCTTACTAGCATGGTGTGCGTCCTGTCTGCTACCTCTCCACCTGCAAGCCCAGTAACGGGGGCGGCGAGTGGACCCCATCGTGGGGGGAGGTGCTGCCCTCAGGGCGAGGCTGGAGATGGAGTCTCCACAGCTGGGAGGCTGTCTCCCGGGGTGACCAGGAAATGACAGTACTGGGCTCTGGAGCCACAATATAGATTGGCCTTTCCACTTGAGCCATCAGACAATAACGTTAAGCCCAAAGATGCTTCTAAGGACTCGGCTGTACCAGCCACGTTAAATTCTTCAGGGAGCCACTCACATGGAAATATGGTACTGATTTGGGAATGAAAACTGTTTGTAAGCTGTAACATTTCCTGTTAGCATCCTCAGTAGGCCCTGTGTAGGCACTTCTCTGCCACATGCTGCTGCTGACTTCTGCGTCCTGACGCACTCGCTGGGCCCTGAGGGGCACGTCACCTCAGAAGCCAATTCTGATGGGAGTGCTACATCTCTGTAACTTAGGTCTCATCTTCCTAACTTTCAAAGCTAAACAAGGCTTGACAGTCTTCAATTAACTTACACTCTCCTAGCAAGAAATGGCAATGTTTCATTTCAGCAAAGCCAGCTGTGCTCGGCGCTCGGGGATGCCGGGGTGTCTGCGCAGGGCTCATAAGATGACAGTGACAGCAGCAGAGCTGAGTGGCGTGTACCTCGTGCCAGGCCCATGTGCTCGCGCGCACACATATACACACACACACNCCTAAGACCATCGGAAAACAAAAAGATATTTACATTACGATTCATAACAGTAGCAAAATTACAGTTATAGAGTAGCAACGAAAACAATTTTATGGTTGGGGGGGGGTCACCACAACATGAGGAACTGTATTAAGGGGTTGCGGCATTAGGAAGGTTGAGAACCGCTGCTCTAGGTCCATCCATGGTGTCGCAAATGGTGAGATTTCATTCTTTCTTCCGGCTAATATTCTATTATATGTATGGTACCACCTCTTCTTTATCCAGTCATCTCCTGATGGGTTGCTTCAGATCTTTCTGAACGAATGAATGAAATGTTGCAAAAGTTATATTTGTGATGTCTGTAATAGACTGAGACACTCTTCATGATGCCAAACTTGAAAACTGTTATGTCACACAGACATATTGAAGTTAGATTCTCGACAAAACTGTTCCATTTTCTGGCAGGCACCATAGGTGTTTCCTATAAGAGTGGTTAAGATCACTTCATACCACACAGAGAAATTAGAAAAACTGGTTTGCTCCTTGTCTTTAATTTCCTGTGGCTAATTTTGCTTTTTTGTTTGCATTTCAGTATTTCTATTCAGAAGCTTTCAAATGAACCTCGCTACCTGATATATGAGTTCTGGGAGGACAGTAGTGTGTGGAATAGGTAAGTGACGACCAGGCTGCCTTTTAAATGATTCATTCATTTCTGTTTATTTTATTTTACCAGGGAGCTGGCCATACACATGATGAATTTTAGGACTTATAGGAAAGGCTCCATGCCCTCTACCTCGCCTTAAAACCTGGCCCATTTGCTTATGTTCAAAATCCCACTCTTTTAGGAATTTATTTCATGGGTTAGAAACCACTTTCCACTTGAAACACAAATCCTGGTAATGGCCCCACTTTAACTATTACCATTTTACTGCTGCTTTCAGGTAAGAAAATTTAGATAATGGGCCACAGGTGTCTAAGGCATGGGATGCAGAAAAGGATGAGAAAAAAAGTTTTACTTCCTAATTTTTTTTAAGCTCTGTAGTTATCTTATTTTACAGCTATATATACATATACTGGTTAAGGTCATAGCAGCCTAAATTTTCTAAAGGGTCTTTAAGCACTGCAAATAAAGGGGAAATTTAAGACATTGTTTGGAAAAGATTAAAAATAAATCAACTTCTCTTGGTAACCATAGCACACTGTACACTTCAAATATGTATAATCACATTTGTCAACTATTCCTCAATACAGTTAAATCAAATTCTTTAAAATAATTGCTAATCCGTAACAAATATATAATTAGAAAAATGAACAAACTGTTATTTGCAGATCACACAATCCTAGTTGGTTTTTAATGGCACAGAGAATATAGCTCTCCTATTAACTGCACGTTTAGGGTTGTAAAACACAGTAATAGAAGTCACAGAATACCTGAGAATTGAGTTGGTAAATATGTTAACTAAAAGTTTAATTTTTGTGGCTATTTTAAGGCATTTTATGCTATAATGCATAATGATACCAACAGAACTTCAAGCACAGAAAAGAGGCTCTTAAAGTAACTGATTAAACTCTGTGCTCCCAGCCTACTCTTTAAGATACATGATTTTTCTTTTTGTTCTACAAGGATGGAAAATCTATAGTCCCTCTTCATAGCTATCCTAGTTTTTAAACATCCTTAGAGCCAGAGTTTAAACTTCTTGCTGCCAGTACAGTCTGTCTCCTTTTTGTTTCATTTCTGTAGAGATTTAATGGTGTGCTGTTTTCAAAAATCATTTTTTAAAATTTCTGATGGCAATTGTTAAATTACTCATCTTTCTTTGTTTTAAGGTAACTCTAAAAAGAAGTCTGTATTCAGGCCCTTTAATCCATATCATCCAAAATCTTGTCATCTTGACTGAACTTGAACTCTGCCATTCTCTACTTAGGAATGTTGTAATAAAAATGCACAGCCTTAACCTATGTAATTATTTACACAGCCACCTTCAGACTAATTACAGCAAGACATTCCAAAGAAGTAACGTGGACTTCTTGGAAACTCCAGAACTCACCTCTACTATGCTAGTTCCTGGTAACTATCCTGGGTCCACAGTGCTTCCATGAGCTTTTGATTGTCTTTCGCTTTTTCAAAGATAGAGAGTGGGCAGGAAATGGAATCTGTATTTATTCTGCCTTTAGTCCTTAGTTGACCCTACTTGTATTTCTGGCTTTATTAAACCTATCATTATAAGTCTATTGTTGGTCACCTTCAAAATGTTAACTTGAAGTACATGTTAAATCATGGGGTTGTTGGGGGTTTTTTTTACATTATAATGTAGTATTTAGAATAAAATTAGAAATAAGTGACCCACAGACCTGCTATTAGATTTATTTTAGAAATTTTATTAGAATAGTTGTTAAAATATTACTCGTAATGGTGGAAAAAGAGAAAGAGGAATTTGAAATGAAATTGTATATGACATATGGTGTAGCTAAAGCTTAAAGATAACTGAAAACCAAACTCATGTGTTCACCTCCCCATCCATTCTGGTTGAACATCTAATTGCTGAGCGGTAGGTAGTCCATGCTAGGCGGGTCTGCTGGGGTGTGTAGCTTTTGCACTAGCAGCGACTGCGCTCCAATTTTGAACAAGCACTGTGCAGGCTACCAAGTGAAAATGCAGTCCCTACCCATAAAAGGCTTCCTGCCCAGTGGGAGATACAGGTGTCTGCAGAAAAGAACCAAGCTCAGGGCATAAAGTAGTCGTTACCATTCGAGTCATGTGGTACGTGGATGTAGAGCAGTGACTGCTTCTGTAATGGTTTGTGAGGAGGAGATGGATCTTAAAAGATGAGATCCGGACAAATAAGATGCTTGTTGTCAGCAAGAGTATTATTTAAACAGCTTTGAAAACAAATTTTAATCCTTTTGTTTCTCAAAGCATTTCACTATCATAGGTTTATCTTTGGGATAATTATATTCACTGGGGAAAACATATCCAATTTTACAATATGGATATGCTAAAATGTATTATTTGAAACACACTCACTTGCTTACACTTAAATCTTTCTGAAACCGGTATATGCGAGTACTATTTGCAAGCTACTAGTCAATACCTGGTAGATTAAAACAATAACATGATTTTATCTACATGGCATTTATAATCTCATTGCCAAGACAAACTCTACTCATATGATCTGTGACAGAAAAATTTTAAGTTAGACTATGACCAAGTGCCAAAAGGTACGGGACAAACCACCATTGCACAGCAAGAGTCCATCTTGGCTCACACAGTTAGGGACTAGTGCCTGGGAAAGGTAGGTAAGCATGCAGGCTAATGGAGGGAATGGTCTCTAAGAATGATTTGCGCCATGATGTCCCTTAGCCCTGGCAGGTATTTTCATCCTTTAAACACTTGTTTTTCTCTTTCAGCTTCATGGTGGACCCTGAACAACAACTAGATGGCCCTAGACATTTGCTTTATCATTCCAAGTGCAAAACGCTTACTAAGATGTGTACTCTTCTGAAATGTCTTCTGTAACTTTATCTTTCTTGTGAATTTTAGCTCAATTTTCAAAGTTCACTACTATTCTCAACATTTGCTGTTTTGCTACAATGTAACCCCCAAGCCCTTTAGTCATAAAGTTCTAATATGTGAAAAAATGTGCACTTAAAGGAACAAAATTGTGAAAAAGCAATTATGATACAGAAAAAATATTTAAAGTGGAAGCTTTTAGTATATTACTTGATAGAGAACAGATGTGTAGATCTGTCAAAAACTATAAAGTTTAAATCGGTGTTTTGTGATTTTTAAGTGACAGATATTCTGAGTGAAGTTTATTCTTCAGTGATGCCTACTCCATTCCCAAGTCATGATCCTATGACTATTCACTTTATATTACTTAAAAAGTTAATACATTATCCAATGTGACTGGTGTCCTTATATGCAGAGAGAGAACGCACAAGGATTCAGGTGCTCAGAGAAAAGGTCACAGGAGTACACAGTAAGAAGGCGGCCAAATGCAAGCCAAGGACAGAGGCCTCAGGAGAAACCAACCCTGCCAACACCTTGATCCTGGACTCTTAGTCTCTAGAAGAAAATGTTTATTGTTTCAGCTAAAAAAAGAAAAAAAACCCTATTAATACGTAACTTTGTGTAAAACAACCTTGGCTGTAACCTATATTGATTATAAAATGGTTTTTCACAAGCGAGCAGTTCGGTGAGAAGGGTACCATTTGTTAATGGACACCATCGTTTCATTTTTTGGCATAATTCCCTGGATGGAAATCGAAAGTGTAGTTTTACTTTGAGAAAATCTGGTTTAAAGTGTATGGCATATAAAGAACAATTGCCAAATACTTTAAAAACAAAATTTTAACCTGAGTGAACAAAGAAGAAATATAGAACAGGCACAGATTTTAGGGAAATAATAAAATAGTAGGGAAGGTATTGGATGGAAAACATCGATTTTCCAGTTTCAACACTGGAATGACTACAATCCCAGTTTCACGAGAAGAACTAAAACTATGTACCTTATACACTTTTCTGTGCAAGCTCAGAAATTAAGTCTTTTTAACAGTAAAATCTCTTCTGATGATAAATGCTGCTAATGAAAATACAATGTATTTGTTACTATGTCATTCTGTAGTCCAAATTCCTTTGAAACCACAGGTCTTCCAGGAAAAAAACTGTAAGGTAAGGTTTTTTTCCTTTTTTTTTTTTCCAATCTAAATTATTTTTTCATAGGATCTACTAGACATAGGAAATAAATTTTGACCTACTATATACACACATATGTATGTAAATATGTGTGTGTCTTGGGACATTTCTGAAGATGAGAAACACTGTGAGACAATACCTGGCTCAACTTTTAATTTATATACAAAGCAAAGAATATTACTAGACATGTACAATGGTAAGCAGTTAATAAAACAGTTGCAGTTCGCACTCTGATTATGTACAGTAAGAAAGGATCAAAAGACAAACCTAGGGTACGTTTGACCTACAGACTCTTATTGAAAACACTGGTTGTAAATTATTTCAAAAATACAAATTATAGCCAATCAAAACATTGTACTGGCCAGTCCATTTAAGTATCAGAATCAGAAGGTACTGGATCCAGTCTTTGGGGAGGAGGCAGTGTGGCTAAGAGGGTTCTGCCCTCTTTACTCACAGCACCATGTGGAAAGGCTCTTCAGATTCCAAACTGGAATAGGGTCTATATTGTATTTTAAACAAGAATCAAAGACCGTGAGAACAGGCAAATAATAAAGCAAGCCAATTTAATTACATGGTAATTCTGACCCCAGCTCTTATATAAGTTATACATGTATTTTTGTGTGAGAGCATCTGTGTGTGTGTGTGTGTGTGTGTGTGTGTGTGTGTGTGTGTGTGTCTCCACACACACACAGATGCTCTCACATAATATAAAGGGAAAATAGGACCAAAAAACACTGCTATGTATAAATAAATATTTTAAAGTAACTGATAAATTTATAGGTAATGAAGTTTTTTTTCTATTTAAAAAAACTATTTCTGGGGAACAAAGTCATGAAAAGTAGGGTGCTAAAAGACCAAAAGGCGAAACCTACTTAAAGCATTAACTGTGGCTAAGTAACCTGAAGACCAGAGAAGAAACAGGTACCGATTTTAGGAGTTCAAAAGTTTAAGATACACTTTCTACCAAATGATGGCTCTTAAATGCCGTCCCAACAGACGGGAGATAAGAGCATCTAATAGTAGGAGACTTTACACTTACCTTTATATCTGCAATATTTTTTAACACTGTGCTGGAAGAAAGTTTTCTTTGTTACAGTAACATCCAGAGTGACAAACTGCAGGAAATGTTTTGTACAAAAAAGTTCGAGCAGCTAAAAGTTTTAAGCCCAAAAAATCTTCATCCGTATATGTTTTAAGACATTATAGAATTGAATCTTAATGTACCTCAATTATTTGCAAATGCCTAAGTTTTCCTCTTTCGAAATAATTTTACTTTCCAATTGCTCAACTGCTACTGTTCATATGGTCTGAATAGCGACACACCCAGCAGCCATTTTCCACATTCAGTGCCACTGTTTCCAAAATTTCAATCTTTGCTTGTAATTATGAATCTTAGACAGGGTTATGAAAACCTAGAGAGCAATCATATATTGAAAAGAAATGCCTATTAAAATTTCTCCCTCCTGTCATTGAGAATTATGCAGTGAACATCCTGAATCATTTCTAAGCCTCTGCAGAGATTGTAAAGATCCTTTCAAGTGCTTGTCGGAAATTGCTGTGAAGCAAAACATAAGCAACTTTAAAAACAACAAGAAATTATGTGCCATATATACAATGCAGCAAATACTTTTATATTTGAGACTCTTTACAGCTTCCATTTCCATTATTACAAGTGATGAAAAACAAAAAAAATTGCAAGTAGCACGCAAAATTATCAAGTCTTTCTATTTCACTAAGCTCAAGTGTTCCTTCCCAATTTGTGCAAGAAACTGCCTGCAAAGCTGAAACTGATTAGAAAATTCTTTATAGTTTAAAATATTTTTTTCATTTTAAGATAAACCAAATATCCATCAAAATTAAAAATAAATTGAATTGTCATAGTCCATTACAGTTATTGTTACTATATCCACTTCATTTGTAGATGTCCAAAATATAAAACAATTCTTTATCTTCATCTGTTCTTAAAATGCTACTTAAAACTGTGGTTGTTTTCCTGTAATATAGAAGAAAAAGTTAGCTTAATAGATTGAACACAGTTTTATTATTTCATTTATGAAGCCAAATACTGTGACCCTACTAAGTATTTACAGGCTGAAACGCATGATACTATAGGAGCTATTAAAGTAACTGGATTTTGTCAAATAAAACAAGTCCGTGTAATAAAACATATATCATTCATTTTTAAATAGATTAGATTGTATTCCAAACCTGTTCTGTTTTTGTGGTACCTAATTTTTTCTAAATGTTATTAATGCATAAGTCAAATTTTAACTCAATTCTAATGTATGAGGTTTGTTCAAAATAATGAGTATGTCAAACTTATGTACAAAATAAACTGTTAGAGACGGAAAGCCTGAAACTAAAAGAGTGTTTTATATAGCCCTGAAGTTCAAGATTTGTTCTTACAGACCAAGGATCATGTATGTTCCTAGGATCTCTGAATAGATGGGACAAGACTGCTTTAATTTTAAAAAGAATTGGCTGGAGGACTGCAAGTTACGGATAAATTAAGAAATACTTACTATGAGCATGTTAAAACCCAAAAATTCAAAAAATTGTAATTGAAGAAAAAGAGGCCATGAAGTCAAAAGAGTTAAAAGTCCCCGAAATGCAGACCCTGGAGATAGTCTGTCTGAGTTGGAAGCAATCTCAGCTCATTTTGATAGTATTCTAGTTGTTGTTTGTTGTTGTTGTTTTAACCAATACAGTGCTTACGAAAACTCTAAATAACAGTCACATTCCAGTCAAAATGGAAGGAAAGACCATAAAAGATGAAAATGAACATTTACCAAGTATGTAATGAGAGGAGTACCATACTAAGCACTTTTCAGACATCATTGTTAGGATTTCATCCTAACAAGTGGAGATCAAACAGAGGCTGAGGAAGGTTAAGTGACTTAAGTTTGAACAGGACACCACACCAGTATACAGGAGTAACCCAAGCCTGATTCCAAAACTCGTGTCCTTCCTGGCAGTACCCTAAAAGACATGTATTTATTTTGATGGAATCTGTTGAGGTGACAGAACTATAAATATAAAAGGCTGAGAACAGCAAAGACATGCTGAAGAAGAAAATGGGTTGATTTTTTTTTTTTTTTTTTACAATTTAAAAAGACAAATGAACAGAACAGAGGGCACAGAAACACAGCACATATATTACCACAAGGTGGCAGAGGACTTACCCTTTCAATAAATATTGCTAGGATGTCAGGAGATCCTTGTAGAGGAAGAAAAAACAAACACTTCCACCTCATATTATACAGCAAAATCAATTCCAGGTAGAATACAGTACTTAACTGTAAACTGGAGGTTTTAGAGAAGAAAATATGGCATGCTCTTTTCATGACCTTTCAATGGAGCGTTATTTCCTGAAATACCAACTATTCCATTCTATTTCTTGGCAAGTTTGGTTACTTAACAGTAATTGGTTACATTATATATTTAGATTTATGTATCTTTTTGAATTATATTTCACAATGAGAACAATTAAAAATCTAGAGAATCAGTCTCATAAAAATGTAGAGAATCAAATGTAAATATTAAACACAAACTTTTTCGAATTAAAATAATGCAGAATGAGAAACCTACTTACTGGTTTTTGAAGTACAATGGGATGATCAGGAAGAAAGTCTGGTTTTTTTCTACAGATGGAAACACTTGATAGCTTCAACAGGAAATCTCTGCTGTATTTAATTCTCTCTGTAGAGATTAAACATCACATGTGATGTTATAAAACTTAGAACTCTCCCAGATCACTTTTTGGCTCAGTGCTTTCTGGATGTCCCATAACTTTCTGGATGTCCTTTTTTTTTTTTTTTTAAATACAATAAGTAGCTTCTATGCAAAAGAGAAGGGGATGGAATGCTTGCCTCCATATTCCCTTTACAAGGAAAGGACGCTAAGTAACCAAGGGAACATGGAAGAATGGGAAACGTTTCAGAGAGCTGGTCAATGCATGGCTTCGTGCGGTCATTCAAGTCTGGTGCAGAAACCTTGTACCGTAAAGTATTAACAGCAGTAACGCCGACTGGGCAAGTCAGGTTCTGCCAAAATGGAACCCTAATAAGCTTAGCCAATCTCTGTATTAATGTACCAGAAATAATACAAACAAAATGAAGTCAAGAAGCATTTGTTATACACCTACTGTGTATCAGGGACTCTGCTTGCATTGCAGCGCCCACCAGTGTCCCAAACCCCACACGAGCGGCAGCCAACCTTGGTTCACAGCATAACCTCTCCCATGTGCCCCCAAGCCCAGCACAAGTCACAGCGGTAGTTGGCCTGTGCCACACCCCTCCCAAGAGGTCCCAGACACAACACACCCCGTGGCGGGCGTCAGACCACACCAGAGCCCCACCCAACCAGCGCCAAAAACAACACATGGAAAGGCAGCCTCAGCTGGCACCAGAGCCACAGTAAAGCAGCTCCCATTCCATGGGGTCAGTCCCCACACAACGGCTCATCTGATGCAGTCACAGCCGGCCCTCACAGCCAGTCAGCCTGAGGGTCAGTGCCACCAGCTGATGTGCCAACAGCAATCATGGCCCAACTGCAACAGGAGGAAACACACAACCCACACAGAAGAGACCCCTAGTGCATCCAACTCAGGTGACCAGGGAGACTGCCACTGTGCCCCACAGGACACCTACTACAGAAGGTTCCTCCGTCAAGGCTGGGAGACATGGCAGATTCACCTAATACAGAGAAACAGCCAAAGTGAGACAAACATGCCCCTAATGAAAGAACAGGACAAAACTCCAGAAAAAGAAACAAAATGGAGATAAGCATTCTACCAGGAAAAAAGTTCAAAACATTGGTAATAAGGATGCCCAATGACCTTAGAGGAAGATTTGAAATTCAGCAGGAACTTCAACAAAGAGATCGGAAACATAAAATAAGTTGGTAGAAAACAAAACAGAACTGTACTAAAGAAGCTGAACATTACAAAAAGGCTGTTGTTAGAATAAGAGGGCAATGAAAATACCCTTTCTCAGTCCAAAGAATCAGGGAAGAGACTATTAAATCTGACCTGAAGTATGTAGGAAAATCTGCTTGATTAATTTTATGATGTATATGTAATTTGATATAAGTTGAATGTGTTAAAAAATTTAAAAAATAAATCATACACCATGATCAAATGAGATTTATTCCTGGGATGCAAGGTGGTTCAATATCCATTAATCAATTAACGTGATATGCCATATAAACAAAATGAAGGATAGAAATCATATAATTGTATCAATAGATGCCGAAAAAACTTTTGACAAAATCCGACATCCTTTTATGATAAAATTCCTCAGCAAAGTGGGGATAGAGGGAACATACCTCCACATAATAAAGGCCATACATGACAAACCCACAGCTAACATCATACTAAGTGGAGAAAAGCTAAAAGCTTTTTCTTTAAAATCGGGAACAAGACAAGGATGTCCAAATTCACCACTTTTATTCGAAATAGTATTGGAAGTCCTAACCACAGAAGTCAGATGGGACAAAGAAAGAAAAGCATCCAAAATGCAAGGAAGAAATAAAACTGTTGCTGTTAGCACATGGCATGATATCATATACAGAACACCCTGAAGACTCCACCAAAAAAACTATCAGAAGAAATGAATTCAGTAATGTTTCAGGATACAAAATTAACATATGGAAATTTTTTTATTTCTATGCACTAATAACAAATGATCGAGAGAAATTGAGAAAACAATCCCATTTACAATCACATCGAAAAGAATAAGGCACCTAGACATAAATTTAACCAAGGAGGTGAAAGACCTGTACTCTGAAAACTCTGAAAAGAAAGAAATTGAAGAGGACACACAAAAATATGGAAAGATATACCGTGCTCATGCCTTAGAGGAATTAATATCATTAAAATGTCCATACTACCCAACACCGTCTACAGATTCAATGCAACCCCTATCAAAATACCAATGGCACTCTTCTCAGAACTGGAACAAATAATCCTTAAATTTATATAGAACCACAAGAGACCCTGAAGAGCCAACCAATGCTAACTTAAGATAAAATAATTAAGATGAAGGTATCACGCCTACTGATTTCAAATATACTACAAACCTACAGTAATCAGAACAGTATGGTACTGGCATAAAAACAGACACATCCATCAATGGACCAGAATAGAGAACCCAGAAATACGCCCATGCTTATATAGTCAATTAATCTACAAAAAAGGAGGTAAGAATATACAATGGGGAAATGGCAGTCTCTTCAATAAGTGGTGTTAAGGAACCCTGGACAGATACAAGTGAAAAAGGGAAACTGGACCACTTTCTTACATCATAGACAAAGATAAACTCAAAATGAGTTAAAATAAAGACTGAAATGCAAGACCCGAAACCATAAAACTCCTAGAGGGAAACACACAGCCAGTAAACTCTTTGGCGTCCGTCCCTCTTAGCAATATCTTCTTTTGATACTTCTCCTCAAGCAAAGGCAACAAAAGCAAAAATAAATGGGACTACATCAAACTAAAAAGCTTCTGCACAGTGAAGGAAACCAGCAACATAACAAAAAGACAGCCTACTGAGTGGGAGAAGATACCCACCAATGATACATCCCATAAAGGATTAATAGCCAAAATATAAGGAACTCATACAGCTCAACATCAAAACAACTGTCTGATTAAAAAATGAGCAGAGGACCTGAATAGACATGTCTCCAAAGACGACATACAAATGGCCAACAGACATATGAAAAGATGCTCTATATCATTAATTATCAGGAAATGCAAATTAAAACTACAACAGGATACCACCTCACACCTGTCAGAATGGCGATGTCAGAAAGTCAACACACAACAAGTGCTGGCAAGGATGTGGAGAAAGAAGAACCCTCAGGCACCATGGGAAGGATTGTAAGTGGGTGCAGCCACTATGAGAAACAGTATGGAGTTTCCTCTAAAAATTAAAAATAGAACTACCACCCATCCCAGCAATTCCACTTCTTGATATTTATCCAAAGAAAACAAAAACACTCACTTGAAAAGATATATGCACCCCTATGCTCACTGCAGTATTATTTACAATAGGCAACATATGGAAGCAGCCTAGGTGACCATCACTAAACAAATGGATAACGTGGTACATGTATACAATGGAGTATTACTTAGCAATGAAAAAGAAGGAAATATTGGCACTTGCAACAACATGGATGGACCTAGGGAGTATTATGCTAAATGGAATAAGTCAGAAAGACAAATACAGTATGATTTCACTTATATGTGGAATCTAAAAAAAAAAAAAAACCCAAAATGAAAACATACTCATACTATACAGAATAAAATGACAGTTGCCAGAGGGGAGGGGGAAGTGAAGGGGACTAAAAAGTATAAAGTTCCCACTAATAAACTAAATAAGCCAAGGTGATGTAGTGTACAGCACAGCACAGTGAATATAATCGGTAATACCGTAATAACTTTGCATGTCACAGATGATTACTTGACTTATTGTGGATGATATTGTAAGATCTGCAAATGTCAGATCAATATGTTGTATGCCAGGCATGATAGATATTGTATGCCAACTATAATTTTAAAAAGTTTTTTTTTTAAGAATGTGAGGAAAAGGGAGCCCTTGTTCACTGTTGTTGGTAATGTAAATTGGTGCAGCCACTATGGAAAACAGTATGGAAGTACTGCAAAAAATTAAAAACAGAGCTAACATTGATCCACCAATACTACTTCTCTGTATTAATGCAAGGAAAACAAGAACACTAACTTCAAAAATACCTGCACCCCCATGATCACTGCAGCATTATTTACAATAGACAAGACATGTAAAAAAAAACCTATGTGTCCATCCATGGAAGAATGGATAATAAAATCTTCTACATATATCGATACTATTCAGCCATAGAACATAATAAAATCTTACCATTTACATCAGCATGGATTGACCTTGAGCATTATGCTAAGTGAAATAAGTCAGACAGAAAAGACAAATATTGTACCATCTCACTTATGTGTGGAATCTAAAACCCACGCAAACACACATATACACATATACATATACATACACATACACACACACACACACTCTCTCTCTTAGATACAGGAACAGACTAGACTGGTGGTTGCCACGAGTAGGGTATGGGGGTTGGGGTGAGGGGTGGGCTAAATGAGTAAAGGTAGTCAAAAGGTACAAAGTTCCAGTTATAAAAAAAAATTGTTCCTGGGCATGTACTGTACAGTATGGTGACTATAGTTAATACTGCATTGTCTATTTCAAAGTTGCTAACAGAATAAATCTTAAAAATGCTCATCACAAGAAAAAAATTGTCACTATGTATGGTAATGGATGTTAACTAGATTTACTGGGGTGATCATTTCACAATATATACAAATATCAAATCATTATGTTATACACTTGAAATTAATGTTATATGTCAAGTATATCTCAAAACAAGCAAAAACAAAAAGCTAGAGAAAGAGCAAACTAAACTTACAGAAAAAGGAAATTTATAAAGATCAGAGGAGAAGTCACAAAAATAGAATGCAAACAATATGTACAATAATAAGCCAAACCGGTTCTTTGACAGTGAGAAACATAATTGACAAATCTCAAGTTGATTAACTGACTATGAAAACAAACACAGACAACTAATACCAAGGATAAGAAAGAGGTTATCAAAGGAAGTTTCTATTACTTTCTTTTTTCCTATGTATGGGCCATAATTCCTTCATTCTTTGCCTTGTATTTTTGTTGGTATTATTGAAAACTAGATATTTTGACTATTATAATCTGCCAGCTCTGGAAATGATTTTCTTCTTCTCCAGGGGTCTGTCACTGCTTATTGAAATCAGTGAGTAGCAATTTGTCACTTACAAGGGATTCTCAGTTGGATAAAAAGATGATTCCTCATCACAAATCATGAAGGCAGGAGGCAGTGGGATGACTTGTTCAAAGCACTGAAAGCAAAAATCTGTCAACCAACAAATATGTATCTCGCATAAGTACCTTAAAAATGAAAAAGAAGGGCCGGCCAAGTGGCACGTTGGTTAAGAGCTGGCTTGGGACGCCAGAGGGCCCCGGTTCAGATCCCACATATGAGGGCCAGTGACACTGCCCTCTACAGCTAAGATGCTGAACAACAGCTCAACCTGGAGCTGGGATGCCGTGAGTTGCCGACGATGGCGTAGGCTGCAGCCCCTGCTGCAGTGGGTTGCCATGGGCTACCATGTGTAGCCGGCAGCCAGCGTGAGCGGCCGGCAGCCAGCGTGAGCGGCCAGCAGCCGCCGTGAGCAGCCGTCCAGAAGCCGGCGACTGATCTGCCTCGCCCGGGAAGAGCGCAATGATGGTGCCAGCTTGGGCCAGTAAAGCAACGTCTTCCACAACTAGACTGAAGAACAGAACAACAAGCAACTTGTCTGTTCCCCTTCCCTCAATTCCCCAGCACTGTTCCCATCCCCCAACTCCCCAATAAAAATCTTAAAAAAAAAAATGAAAAATAAATTGAGACACTCGTAGATAAACAGAAACTGAGTTCATTGCTTGTAACCCTGCCTTACAAGAAATGGGGAGGGGATCGTTCAGGACTGCACACAGTAATGAGAATCCACATGAAGAAACGAAGAACACTAGTAAACATAACTGCACAGGTAAACAGACAAGTCAGTATTAATGTATTTTGGATATAACTCCTCTTTTTTTCCTATGTGATTTAAAAGACAAATTCCTAAAAATGCATAATTATAAATCTAGGTTGATACATTGCACAGTCTATAAAAATTGAATTTCTGATAATAAAATAATGCTGGGAAGGAGCTATACAGGAGGAAGGTTTTGTATAATACTGAAAGCAAGTTAATGTGAATTCAAATTAGAGCATTGTAAATTAAATTATCCCCCAGTGCAACAACTAGGAAAATAACTACACACACACACATACACACACACAACACATATGTGTGTGTGTGTGTGTGTGTGTGTGTGTATATATATATACACATATATATAGCTATGAGTAGTTTTTATATATTTATATATATATTGCAAAAATATAACAAAAAGCAAGTAAAATAGTACACTAGAAGGAATCTATTAAATGCAAAAGAAAACATTAATGGGAGAATTGAAGAACAAAAAACATGACTTATGGAAGACAAACAGCAAAATGAGTGGAGTAAGTCCTTCCTTATCAGTAATTACATTCAATGTCATAAAATCTCCAATTAAAAAGCAGAGATTATATCCAGTTTCTTAATCCAGTCGTCTACTGATGGGCATTTTGGTTGTTTCTATGTCTTGGCTATTGTGAAAAGCGCCACAATAAACATAGGGGTACATATATTTTTTTGAATTAGCGTTTTGAATTTCTCTCGATAGATACCTAAGAGTGGAATTGGTGGGTCATAAGGTATTTCCATTTCCATTTTTTTGAAATACCGCCATACTGATTTCCATAGTTGCTGCACCGATCTGCAGTCCCACCACCAGTGCATGAAGGGTGTAAATGTCTAACTATTACATTGTTTTGTGCACCTGAAACAAACAAAAAAACTAATAAGATAAATCTGTGGAGTGATAGAGAACTGACTCTGGGTGGTGAACACACAATGTGATATATAAATGATGTATTACAGAACTGTACACTTGAAACCTATGTAACTTTACTAACCGTTGTCACCCCAATGAACTTTAATTTTAAAAAAAGATTAAGGAAAACAGTGCCGGCCAAGTGGCGCGTTGGTTAAGAGCTCACTCAAGAGTGTAAGCTCTGAACAACAGTTCGATTCCCAGCCCGAGCTAAGCTGCTGCTGAGCTGCCAACAGTTGGCAGGATGGCTCAGTTAAAAAAATAAATTTAAAAAATATAAAATTTCTTATGTACATAAGGTTTGCAGCTAAGGAAATATTACTTTCCCATGAATGCTAAGACTCTCTTATGAAATTTGGAAATTATGATAAAAATTTACCTTTTTTAACTGAAGACTGATGTTGTTGTTGGTCATTAAGACCTTGAGCAAAGGTTTGCATTCCATTCGACTTACACTGGTGAATAAAGAAAATACACTTTTTAACTACGGTTTAAACTTTTTATACAACCCTTTTTTTAAACCATCCAAAATATTTTTCCTAAACAATCAAAAGTATTACTGAAAGCATATTTTTTGAATAACGGATAAACAGTATCCTAAGTGTACTAATTAAAAATAAGCAACAAAAATATCTTTCAAAATACATTCTCATATAACTATTTTTGTCACGATTATAATTATTTTTGAAAGGGAACATAAAACCAAAGATAAATAATATCCTAAAGATAAATAATTCCAAAGTAAATAAGAATAGATTTTAATTCATGGAAACAGCAGATATTTATTCATGGAAACCTGCAATAATAACACTGTTTATTGTTTTTGAACTTACGTAAAGTAGATCCTTGATGGCAGCATATAAATTGTTCACAGACTAATGGGAAATACGGAAAATAAGAAAATATCGCTTCACCCAATGAAGCAAAGAGAAAGAAGAAACACTGGCAAAGCTCAGTGTCCTGAGAAGAGGAGGCCTTACCCAAGTTTTCCATCCCTACTTGCTGGACCATCTTTTTTATATTGGCTAATCTGATGATATTTTAAACAACAATATTTTCACCCTTATTCTGACTACATGCTCACCAAGAAATATTCTGATTACAGCCTAGCTTCCCATAAATCTCCCTAGAGCAGATAATACACCAGTATGAGTACAAAGCAGCCATATTTCTCATTATAAAATAATGAGGTTTCTGATTTTACAAATCAGTTTCATGTACTTGGTCAACACAGTCTAACCCGAAGGGATGATCTACTCTTTTAGCTGATAAAACTCAATTTGCAAACCAGACCCTGTATGCCAGACCCTGCACCATGGTAATTCCCTAAAGTAGGTTTTTTTGAGACCATCTATCCTTAAAAATGAATATCTCTGCTCCATCTAGCACCATATTAGCAAATTATAGCCCATTCCTTAAATATGTGCAAATTCTACCCAGGAAATGCCTACAGTCAAAGGACTGATTGTCTAACCTTATGACACAATGAAGAGTAATGAGGTAATTCTACATTACGGAGACATCAGAATAAGTCATCAGATAAAAATCAAATTTTGGGGGGCGGCTGGTTGTCTCAGGTGGTTAGAGTGCGGGCTCTTAACACCAAGGTTGCTGGTTCAATTCCCACATGGGCCAGTGAGCTGCACCCTCCACAACTAGATTGAAGACAATGGCTTGACTTGGACCTGATGGTTCCAGGAAAAACACACTGTTCCCCAATAAAATCTAAAAATCAGAAAAAAAGAGGGCCGGCCAATTGGCTCAGTTGGTTAAGAGCTCGCTCAAGAGTGCGAGCTCTGAGCAACAGCGGTTTGAGTCCTGGCCCGAGCTAGGCTGCCGCTGAGCTGCCAACAGGTGGCAGGATGGCTCAGCTAAAAATAAATAAATAATTAAAAATAAATTTTAAAAAATTTTAAATAAAAATATTTTTTTTAAAAATTGGTCTTTTAAAGAAAAAATCAAATTTTGTCAACACCAAAGACTTGGTTCTCCAAAGTTCTTCCTGTTAGATTTAGTAAACTATAAAAAAGAATTATAGGGCCAACCGAGTGGCTCGTTGGTTAAGAGTTGGCTTGGGAGCGTGAGCTCTGAGCAGCAGGGCCACCGGTTCGGATCCCACATGTACCAGTGACACTGCCTTCTACAGCTAAGATGGTGAACAACAGCTCAACCTGGATATGGGCTGCCCTGAGTCACTGGCAACGGCATAGGCTGCAGCCCCTGCTGCAGTGGGCTGCCGTAAGCTACCGTGAGTGACCGGCAGCCAGCGTGAGCGGCCAGCAGCTGGTATGAGCTGCTGTGAGCCACCGTGAGTGGCCATCCAATGGCCGGCAACCTATCCGCCTCACCCAGGAAGAGTGCAATGATCACAATACCAACATGGGCCAGTGAAACTACGTCCTCCACAACTAGACTGAAGAACAAAAGGACAGCAACTTGTTTGTTCCCCTTCCCCGATTCCTCAACGCTGTTCCCTCCCCCAATTCCCCAATAAAATCTTTAAAAAAAAAAATTATATGGTCCTTTTTAAAAATTAATATTTTCAAATTGAAAATTTCATCAGGCACACTTCACTATCTTTGTAACACTACTTAAATGCAACTTAAATGCAAGACGTAAAAATCAAACTCAAAAGTAAACTGAAACCTGAAAATATATATATATGTGTATGATATGTGTGTATGTATACATACACACATACACACACACACACACACACACACACACACATATATATACATCAATAAAACAATCTCTTTCTAAAGTAGTATCAAAAAGAATAAAATACTTAGGAATAAATTTAACCAAAGAGATGAAGTATCTGTACACAGAAAAGTATAAGACACTGATTAAAGAAATTGAAGATGACAGTACATGGAAAGATATCCCATGTTTATGGATTGGAAGAATATTATTAAAATGTCCAACTACCTAAAGCAATCTACAGATTCATTGCAATCCCTGTCAAAATTCCAATAGCAGGTTTTGTAGAAATAGAAAAAAATATCCTAATACTCGCATAGAACCACAAAACACCCTGAGTAGCCAAAGTAGTCTTGAGTAAGAACAAAGCTGGAGGCACCAAACTTCCGGATCTCAAATTATATTACATAGCTATAATAATCAAAATAGTATGGTATTGGCATAAAAACACACATAGACCAGTGGAGCAGAATAGACATCACAGAAATAAACCCAACGCATATACATTCAGCTATTCTTTCACAAGAAAGCCTAAAATACACAATGTTGAAGGAACAGTCTCTTCAAAATATAGTGTTGAGAGAACGGGCTGTCCATGTGCAAAAAAATGAAATTGGACTATTTTACACTATGAACAAAAATAAACTCAAAATGGTTCAATACAAATAAAACACCTGAGGGCCGGCCGAGTGGCGCAATGGTTAAGAACTGGCTTGGGATGCCAGAGGGCCCCGGTTCAGATCCCACATATGAGGGCCAGTGACACTGCCCTCCACACTAAGATGCTGAACAACAGCTCAACCTGGAGCTGGGCTGCTGTGAGTCGCCGGCGATGGCGTAGGCTGCAGCCCCTGTGGCAGTGGGTTGCCATGGGCTACCATGTGTAGCCAGCAGCCAGCGTGAGCGGCCAGCAGCCGCAGTGAGTGGCCATCCAGAAGCCTGCGACTGATGTGCCTCGCTCGGGAAGAGCACAATGATGGTGCCAACTTGGGCCAGTGAAGCAACGTCCTCCACAACTAGATTGAAGAACAAAACGACAGCAACTTGTCTGTTCCCCTTCCCCCAATTCCCCAGCACTGTTCCCATCCCCCAATTCCACAATAAAAAAAAAATCTAAAAAAAACAAAAAAAAACAAAAACACCTGAAACCATATAACTCCTAGAAGAAAACAGGGGAAAACCTCTTTCACATTCATCTTGGCAATGATTTTTTTGGCTATCATACCAAACACTCAAGCAACAAAAGCAATTATAAATAAGTAGAACTGCTATATCAAACTAAAAAAAAAAAGAAAAAGTCAATAATGAAAGGGTCACCTACAGAAAGAGACAAAATATTTGCAAATATATCTGATATGGACTTAATACCCAAAGTATATAAGGAATTCATACTGCTCAATAGCAATCAAACAAATTATCCAGTTTTTAAAAAATAGTAAGAAGACCTGAATAAACATTTCTCCAAAGAAGGCATACAGATGACCAATAGACATATGAAAAGACACTCAATATCATTAATCACTAGGGAACTGAAAATTAAAACCATAATGAGGTATCACCTCATACCAGTCAGAGTGGCTATCGTCAATAAATTGACAAACATTTTTTGGTGAGGATGTGGAGAAAAGGGAACCCTCACGTACTGTTGGTGGGCTTGTAAATGGGTGCAGACACGATGGAAAATATGGAAGTTGCTCAGAACATGAAAAATCGAACTACCATATGACCCAACAATCCACTTCTAGGTATTTATCTGAAGAAATCCAAAACACTAAATTGAAAAGATATATGCACCCCTATGTTCACTGCAGCATTATTTTCAACAGCCAAGATATGGAAGCAACCTAACTATATACAGCGATAGACAATTGGATAAAGATGTGGTACATATAATACAATGGAATACTACTCAGCCTTAAAAAATGAATTCTTACCATTTGTGACAACATGGATGGACACTGAGGGTATTATGTTAAGTGAAATAAGTCAGACAGAGAAAGACAAATACTGTATGATTCCACTTATATGTGGAATCTAAAACATAAAATAGTAGTCATGGGGATGTCATTATTATGTTTGTAAATACGTATAATGCCAGGTGGGTACTAGTCTAGTAGTAAGAATGTAGAAAAATAAGAACCCTCATGCACTGCTCATATAAATCACACTGGAGAATAATTTGGAAGTACCTAATAATACTGAAGATAAGATTACCTTTTAACATAGCAATTCTACTGCAGTTTTATACTGTATAAAATGTAACATATACATGGATGTTCACTGTAGCATTTATTATAAAACAAAAACAATAACTATGCTCATTCCTAAAAAAATTGTATATTAATATACAAAAATTTTCTCTGTATCAGAACATATGGAATAGCTACATTCATTACAATAGTTGCCTGCTATCCATCTATGAATATACTTATGATTGTGCATGCATAGTTTATTTCTGGAAGTATCTAGATAAGAAACTGGTACAATGGCTACTTCTGGGTAGAGGTGACAGGGGGATAGAGATTGGAGGGAAACTTTTCACTAAATGCCATTTTGTATGTTTTGAATTTTAAACTTTGTGGTTATATTACTTTGCCAAAAAATTAGATTTTTTTAAATATACCCTAAATGTGAAAAAAACATAAAAACATGTGGATACAATTCCATGTATATAAAATTGTAAACCAGTTAAAACAATTCTATTTGTTGCAGCAAAAGTACCAATATGCTCACGGAAATCATAACATTGAGGACAGTTATCTTGGATAAAGGTGGGGAGGAAATGGGTTGGTGGAGGGCTATATGGGGGTTTTAACTTTATCTGTAAGGTTTTTAAAATTTGCTAAAACAAATATAGCAAAATGTTTAGATTTGAAAATGGTGGGCAACAGGTATAATGAGTGTTTTACTCTTTCTAATATATGCTTGACACATATCATAAAGTATTTTTTAAAGTATGTAAAGCACTTAGCATAGTAAAGGCACACAACAGCCATCTATCGAATGTTACTTTCCAATCTACAATGCTTCGGTTTATTATAATTTCAAAGACTTACTCTGCTAACTCCACTTTGTAAGTACTGAGCATTGCACGGATATTCACTTTGAAAGTCAAAAGGGAATACTGCTCCTGTTAGGAGAGAAAAAAAGAAAACTATTTTAAGTATCCATGTCATCAATAAATGATATAATATTACCTAAACACCTTTATTATCCAGCATATTCTAGGTACTGTTTTACAATATTTTTCTGATAGTTCATTTATTGAATACTATGAAATGTCAGCAACTGTATTAGGAGATGAGTATGTGAGAAAAAAGTTCTGAGATAAAAAAGTTTGCAGCCTATTTTAAAATACAAGCTCGTAAAAATAAATAAGTTATGTGAGAGGTACAGAGAAAACGCTAGGGAACAGGTAGGTGGGCTTTGGGGTACCAGGGCAGGCCTCACAGAAGAAAATATTTCAATCTTGGTCTTAAAAAAAAAAAGATTTATTTGGGGACATGAGGTAGACAAGGAGCATGGAAGTATGTTCGGAAAAGCCAAAATTGATTTCTGATTTACTAAACTTTGCCTAATCAAACCCTACCCTTGTCTGGATTTTAAAATGATATAATTTAATGAGAGATAGGGGCTACCAGCTCACCCCCATTAACCCCTGTAAAGCCTTGGAAGGAAAGATCAGTGAAAAACTGCATCTGTACAGATGAGGGAGGTAGGGGTGGTGTAAAAAGGGAGGTGACAGAAAGAAGCTGCCCACAATGGCTTCATATCCTTCCCTTTAGGATAAAGTTGGAGACTTGACCCCACACAACAGCTTCTTCAGCACACCAGAGGGCTATGCCATCAGCACTGCTAAGCTGAGATCCAAAAGATCCATGTAATTATTTGTCCTAAGTCAGAGCCATCTTCAAAGGAAACATTACCATAGTGAAGACAATCTTCCTTGTAGGAACCAAGGATGGGAAAACAATAGGGGACTGAGGAGTTGGTACCATTTCTATCTTTTCTGCTTCAATAAAATAACTATTTTTTCCTTTTTCTAAGTAGAGCATTATTTAGTTGAAGACGTGGTCTAGAGACTCTAAATAGGAAATATTCATGTATGTGTGTATGTGTGTGTGTGTGTGTGTGTGTGTGTGTGTGTCTCTCTCTCTATATATATATACTGGGGGTGCCAAAAAAATGTGTACACATTTTAAGAGATGTTATCTATGTATAACTTTTTGAAGTTGAACTGAATTACACTAGCAATGTGTAGTATGACATTCGCTCAAAAGATGGCGTTAATCAAATGAATGCTAGCATCACCATGCAACAGGCAGGACCGTCAAAGAAAATGGCAGAAGCATGGTTATCATTTGAGAAGCGCAAGACCATTTTGAAGTGGTATTTGAAATTCAAGAACATTGTGGAAGTCCAACGACAATGGAGGCGTGAGTATACAACAGAACCTCCAACATGCCTAACAACTGCAGACATTCACGATAAGTTTGAGACGCATGGTACTACTGTGTGTGATGTGCACAAGGGAAGATCTGGGAGGCAACAAGTCCTGATGCTTCTGCTATGGTATTGGAACAGTTTATGCGCTCACCACAGAAGTCTGCCAAACAATGTTCACCATAATCAGAAGTGTCTGGATGCTGATGGGAACCACTCTGAGCACCTCTTATAATTGCAAAAGTCAAACATGACTTGCATTCATCTTTTGTTATTGGTATATTTTGAGTACTACAATTTTAATACAGCTTTTTCCATTCTTAAAGTGTGCATATGTTTTTTGGCACCCTCTGAATATGTGTGTGTGTGTGTGTGTGTGTGTGTGTGTGTGTGTGTGCATATATTTAGATATATATCTCCTAAATTAGACTATAGAACCCTTTCTGACAACAGCGAATAAAAAGAATAAAATAGTTAATATTCCAATTTAGGAATTAAATACCAAGTATTTCAAGAATTTCTTCAAAAGATTAGATTTATGTGCAAAGAAAAATTTGTAGTTTTAGAGAGATTTTGTTTGTTTAGATTTCCTAAAAAATTAATTATATGCTCAATTCAAGCACAGCCGTATCTGTTAAGTATTGCTTGGTACTAATCTTGTTTTTTTTCTTTTTTTTGCAGTTAGGTGTATTTTTTTAAAAGGCTAATTCTCTCTCCAGCATGACTGTTCCACAGTGATTTTAATCACAGGTCATAATTTGTATTGAGAGTATCTTTTTGAACAGAAGCCAGTTAACCATAAAAATTAGACATAAAAAAATACACAAAGTTGCTCTCAAGTCAGAGCTATTATTTCTACCTTCGTTTGTCTGGTAAACTATGAAGAATCCTTCTCTTTGGTAATACTTAAATTCTGCCAAGGAGATTATTTATTTTATTTTATTTCTTTAAATATCAACCATGAACAATTACTTTCTATATTATTTAGCCTTTAAAATACTAAATTAGCCATTAACCAATTAATATTTAATGATGTGTACCCCACTTACTCACCAGGGGGAGAAGTCAGATGGCGAACAGGTCTTGCTGGTTGAAGCGGTTTGCCAATCAATTTTTTGGTTTCCATGATCACAAAGACCTTGAGGTTCCATACTTTAGGAGGGAAAAATACATGTTTATCTTTCAGACAAAATAATCAAGATCTTTACAGACATACACATAACACAACATGCAAATAATCAAGATCTTTACAGGCATAAAATAACCTATTTTATAAGTTAAGGTTCAAAGCACAAACAAAAACAGAAGCATTTAAAATAAAATAAGATGCAACAATCTTAGACCCCTGTACAGCATCTGTCACAACTGAACATTCCCTCTTTAAAACATTTTCCTCCCTTTACTGCCCTCTTTTCTTTTGGTTTGTTTCCAATTTTTTTAATTGCCTCTCCTAATTTCTTTAGCTGTTTCCTCTTCTTAACTTCACTTAAATTTAGGAATTCTTCCGAATGTGGCTTTGGTTCTCTTAGCTAACCTCATCTATTCTCATTATTGACACCACCTATCTACATGATATATACTGATATATATCCAGCATCTACCGCCTCTTTTAAATTCTCTTATTTTTCTAATTGCCCAAAGATATTCCCATTTATATCTTGTAACAGGCATCTCAAATACAACATATCCAAAATCAAATTCATTACTTTGACTCCAAAATGTCCCTCCTGCTGTTCTCCTTAAGGTCACTACCACCTCCCTCAGACCACCCTTGGTTACAGACACCTTCAATATGACATTCTAAATTAGAGCCCCACAGCATAATCACTCTCTGCTTCCTGTCCAGTCTACTTCCAGACTCTGTCTCTTAAATCTGTTTCCTGCACTCCCACCACTACTCTTTTTAGTTTCTTAGTAGTTTCAATTCATCGCTCTGATCACCCAGTCTGATGTAAATACTCCCTCCCACTGTGTTCCCCCACACAGTGAATATGTCCACATCGTGGAATTCAGAGAAGACTGAACTATATACTATGATGGTTCATTTATTTCTCTTCCACTTATTTGCCTCACTGCTAGGCAGAAGTGAGAAGTAGGTTTTTCTTAAACTGAGCAAATGGGTGAAAACAGCCTCTTCTCTCCAAACTATGAACCCTTTACACACACCTGCTTAAGCTTCAGTTCCCCACCCCTCCTGGCTGACTAGTAATAAAAACAGGAGACAACATCCAGGTGTCATGCACAGCAAACCATTTACCTAAGTTATATTTTTAATTTTCACAACAATTCAGCTCAGGTCTCAGGTCAGCCTACCTGGGTTCATATATCATGGCCCCACCACCCATGGGGTGGTGTACAACTGGAAAACAACAGCCTCCACCCCCTAGGTTTAATGTGAAGACTGAATAAGATAATCAGTATAAAGCACAGCAAAATGCTGGGCACAGAGTAAGACTTCGATAAATATTAGCTGTATTTTTTTTATCCTAATTTTAGATAAGGCTTAGAGAAATTAGGTAACTTGCCCAAGGTCATGAGTTTGAGGAAGTGATGGCTCTGCCATGCCCATGTTTGCAGCCAGCACCCTACAATCAAGCTATCCTCAACCTCTCTTTCCACCCCACCACCAGGCAGAACTACCCAAGTTCTGGTTAGTTATACCCTTCTTATGTGCTCAGAAAGCACCCCTACTCTGCTGCAGTGTGGTACTTACTGCACTAGCTGTGATTCTATTATCTGACTATTAAGTCATAGCCCTCTCACGCAGGCATATCTCCAGTGTCTACCACACGGTGTCGGTACACAGTGCATATTCAGTAAATTGTTTAATTCATAAGTATTATTTTGTTTCATCATGTAGTTGTACATTTAGGTGTTCCGTCTGGAGTTCCCTCACTCTCTCTGCTGCTTGTCTTTCAAACTGCCATTCATCCTTCAGGACCAAAGTCAAGTTCTTGCTACCTCCTTGGAAAATATCCTCAACAGTGACGTTAAATATAATAAAATAGTTCATATATTTCTCTAGTTTCTAACAAGTAGTTGACAGTAAAATAATAACAATTTCTTTCTACACTACCCCCTACTGTATTTTGTCTATCAATTTTTCTCAAATGTATCATAGTGAACAGCTTAGCCATACCTCAGAGATATTGCGGTTTCCATTCTAAACCACCATAATAAAGTGAGTATTACATTAAAGCAGTAAAGTGAGTCGCAATCTTTTTGATGGTGGAGGGTCTTACCTTCCATTTGTTTTAAAAAAATATAATAATAACTGTGAAGTGCAATAAAACGAGGTATGCCTGAACATGCCAATTTGATTAAACTGAATTAGCCGAGGCCAAAAGAAACAGACCTTACTTATCTTTGTGTCCTAAACTGCAACACAGTTTTACTAAGTAAATCTGAAAACTTAAATACGTCCTAAACATAACCAAAATCTTCTGATACCTGAATGGGACACAGCTTTTCAAATTTTGATGCCTATTAAGACAAAGTCAAAAGTAAAATTCCACAGGACTTTGCACCAGCTCATCCAGAAAGATTTGGAACCATATGATCTTAAGCAGATCATTAGTCTGTGACTGTTTACGTTAAGTATAAAATAGGGTCCATAACTGCCTTTTAGCTCCAAAGAAATGCTTTCCTATATTTACAGATACCTTCAGACATAACGCAAATGTTAAAATCATAAATTGATAAACAACCTCTCAAAGTTAGCAATGATTAATAAGCATAAAACAGTTACATCTTCCTGAAGTTTACAGATAAGCGAGCCAGTACTCCCCAAGTTAACACCCATCTGGCTTTGCAATGTGTGTTAACTAGTATTTGAACATGGCTATTAACAACCTTCTAAACAAAACCAATGCTGTCTGTATTTGCTGGCAATACAACTTCAGAGTAGTAGGAAACAAAAAAAGTTATAAGCATAACTAGCAAAAAATACTTCAAATATTTACTATGTGGAAGGGAATATTTAAAATGAGGACCAAAAAACAATCTAATATTGCATAATTTAATGTGTATCCTAGCCATTTTAATTAGGGCCCTAATACTCATATGTAGTAACTTTCCATCCTGTTTCCCATATGAAAGTACCGAATCTGAATTCAACAGAGTACTTGGGCACACACTTTCTTGTTTGTCATTGCTCAGCTGAAATTGGGTTGGTAGGGTGTAAGGTCTTTTCCAGTTGCTGAGGAATGCAAATCCACAGTATTCAAACCATGGATTTTCAAAAGTTGCTGGGGGGGGGGAGTTACTATTATATGATTTTGCAACACAAGTAAATAAACAAAAAAGTAAAAAAAAGTTTAGTACCATCCACCCTTTCACTTTATAGTATGAAAACAACAGCAAAGACTCCAGGTATATAAATCCACAACAGTTAGGGAAATCAGAAAAGATAGTGCCATACGGTACTCTAAATTTTTTTTTAAGTAAACTATGTCTGCATAGAGACACTGACATTATAGGGAATAAGTTTGGGATGCATACCACATAATAGCATCATGTCTTAAATAGTGTTACTAATGGAAAAGACAAGCATTTTTAAGAAGTAATTATTATTGTAAAATTGATCCACTGGATTGTAATGTATGAAGGGCAGGACTCCACCAACCAAAGCCTAATTCTCCATTTGTTAAAAATAATAAACACTTAACTATAAAGTCAGTATATGAAACAACTTCAATCTTAAAATCACTGAATGCAGAGGGCCATTAGTTTCCTTTGATACTACATAGGCTGTAGCAACTGTTACAAAGGACAACCATTGCAAACGAAACAGAAACTACAGCATTGGGTAGTTAAGTAGTGGACCTTGTCATAAAGTTGTCTTTCAAAATGTAAACATTTAGTTTTGTGGTATAAATACTTTTTAAAGGAAATTTTGATCCACTATCTCAAAAAATTCAACTAATAAATGCTGAGAAATGGTTACCGACTACAACTTTTTTTCAAGTTTACACATATTTATCAAATCATCTTAAAAGGCTGAGTAGTATGAATAGAATATTGGTCTGCAAGTCTGGAAAACCTAAGTGTAGTTGCTATTTTACACCTAGCAATACTAACTATATTGGGTTCCTTTATTGTTTAAAAAATAATAAAAAAAATAACAAAACAAAAAATCAAACTAAACATAAATACAAATGACCTACTGATATTGAAATTACAAATTAATCTATAATTTTTTAAAATATAGTATAATAATAAGCACATGCTGACCAACTGGGACACAATCTTATTAAATTTAAATTGTTTTTTTAATTAAAATTCTGGTGTTTTTGAGGTCTTATTACATGCTAAATGTTTTATATATTATCTCATTTAATTTTGAGCCATACATTAACTTCTGTAGAAAATAAATCATTGTGACTTTACAGACTAAATGATGATTAATCACTTTACAGATCAGAAACCTAAGACTCAGAAAAATAAGAGAAATGCTCAAGTTCACATACTTAATAACTGGTACAAATGAGGACTTGACTATATAGTTCATGCCCTCATCTGTAAACTTGGGAAACTAAGACATCTGACTCGCCACTGTTCTGTGTGGACATTTTTTGTATGGTTAAAAAAAATATTATCAGTAAGGACATTTATGTGTAAATCCTTCCTGAATAAACTGGTATGTGCTAATAATTGCCATTTCCTCATTTACATTTTTTCTTTTTTTAAACATTTTATTGGGGAATTGAGGGAGGGGACAAGCGCTGGGGAGTCGGGGAAGGGGAACAGACAAGTTGCTGTCCTTTTGTTCTTCAGTCTAGTTGTGGAGGACATCGCTTCACTGGCCCATGTTGGTATTATCTTT